CTCTTTCCCTCTGCAGGGAAGAAGAACAAGGACTACAAGATGGCGCCAAGTGAGTACCGGTCTGGCTCCAGCCGCGGCCCAGTGCCGGGGCCGTCTCCCGTCTCCTGGCTCTGGTTTCTGGCCGCTGCCGGCATTTCCTGCCCCCCCCGTGCCCCCTGTGCCGCCCCTATTCCCAGCCCTGTAGCAGGGACGTGTGGGAGAGGTCGTGTCTCCCCTCCGGCGCTGGCGGCACCGTCACCGAGTCATGGAATCGTGGAATCCCGGGTTGGGAGGGACCTCAAGGATCTTCTGGTCCAACCCTCCTGGCACAAGCCCGGCCTAGCCAAGGTGGCCCAGCCCCAGCCCAGCTGAATCTTCAAAGTGCCCAGCGTTGGGGAATCCACCCCTTCCCGGGGGAGATTATTCCAGTGGCTGCTTGTTCTCGGTGTGAGAAACTTTCCGGTTGTGTCCAAGCGGCCTCTCCCCAGCAGTAACTTGTACCCGTGACCCCTCGTCTTTCCCATGAGCCTCCCCGTCACAAGGGAGTCGCCGTCTCCTCTGCAGCCCCCCTGAGCACCGGGACGTGGGGGTAAGGTCTGCCCTGAGCCCCGCAGGAATCCAGGCAGACAATGCCCACCGCTCGCCCCCGTCAGCCGAGCAGGTCCCTGTGTCGGAGCAGGCGACCGTCCTCCTCTCCCAGGGCTGCAGCGCGGCCGTGGCTCCCGGGCGGCTCCTGGCCCCTGCCCGTAGCCAGCCCAGGCCGGCAGCTCACGGTTCTTTCTCTCCCGCAGGCTCGGACGGGGGCTCTGGCAGCTCGGCCACAGGTACAGCGTGGGACAGGGGGATGGACGGGGCGGCCCCAGCTCTCTGCTCCCCCGTGGGACCCGCAGGCGGAGCAACACGGGGCTGCGGGACGGGGACAGCGAGACCCCAGAGCAGCGGGTTGGGGACAGGGTGGTGGCCCTGGGTGACACCGTCTCTTCCTCTGCTCCCCGCAGTGATTAACACCTGACCGCTCGAGGAGGGGCCGTTGCGTGGCTGGATACAGCCCCCTGCCCTCTCACCGGCTGGACGCAGGGAGAGGACGTGGCTGTGGCGGTGGCTCTTCTGGCCGGTGAACTTGCTGTTTGCAGAGGCTTTGGGAATATTTAGTATTTAAATATCTTATGTTTAATGTTCTTCAATCTTTTTTTTATCCCATTTGCTCATACTGAGTTGATGATAATCAGGCACTGCCGTGACTATCGAGGGGTTTTCAATTTGAGGCTGTAACTGATTTGGCTCCATGTGTAGTTGTCCTGGTAAATAAAATAAATGATTGTCCCCACCCTCTGTGGGGCTGTGCCTCCTCTCCCGGTGCCTGGGCTGCTCTCACAACCTCGGTCAACCTTGGGCTGGTTTTGGCTGGGGTTGAGTTGATTTTCTGGCTGACGGCCCAGCAGGGCGCGGTGTTGGGGGTTTGTGACCCCGGCAGCGTTGGTGACGCAGCGATGGGTCTGAACAGCTTTGGCACAGTGTCAAGGCTGTCTCTGTCAGTCGGCCACCCCAGTGAATAGACGGGGGTTGTGCAGGAGGATCGAGAGGGGAGACAACCAGGCAGACGACCCAACCTGCCCAGAGAGATCCCAGCCCCATCAGATTGTACTCGAAGCTAAAAAGGCAAAAGAGAGGGTTGAGTGGGACCGGCTCTTCCTCAGGCCCTGCCTGGGTGTCGCTGTCCCTGGGCTGAGGTGGTGTTCTGAGTGTCTCAAGAGAAACAGATAATAATTAAAAGTAAATCAATTTTACAACAACCACTTGGCACTCCAGCCATCATTCAGAAAGGGCAGATCCACGTGTCCGTGAGAGGAAAGAACCGTCACTGCACAGACTCCTCGGATTTATCGACAATCCCAAGCGCAGGAGGGTGGTGCCTGCGCCCAGTCCTGGCAACGCAGCCTGGGCGAGGGACGCGGGCTCCTCTCCGGGTGAGGAGGGGTTTGGGTTGCGGTGGCCGCAGTCGGGTAACGGACGCTCTGAGAGGGACGAGGGGTCCTGCCCCCGGCTGGGCTGAGGGAAGGGACAAACGGGTGCGATGGCTACGACAGGACGGTCCTTCACTGGGTCAGGTTGCTCAAAGGTCCCGTCCAACCTGGGCTCGGACACTCCCAGTGAGGGCGTCTCCTCCACATCTTGTTGGGGTGGCCAGTGCCCTGCGGGGGTGGCTACAGCGCTGGTGGCAGAGGTGGAGCCCCCCGGGCCGCTGCGTTCTGGCAGCAGGACCTCGCTGCCTGGGTAGAGC